ATATCTATCCCTACAGTTGTACTGTCTTTAATGATGTTGATCGCGTCTTCGATGTATATATTAAAAAGTAGCGGTGACAGTGTGCATCCCTGTCTGACTCCCTTCCTAATTTTTACTTCTCTACGTTGCAGCCCCATCTCTGTAACTGCCTTTTGCTCTTTATACAAACTAAGTATCAGTCTCCTATCTCTGTAACTTATCCCAATATTTAAAGTATATTTAATCAATAGATAATTAATATTGATATTTATTTCTTTAATACAGGGTGACTCTGGAGGCCCTTTGGCTGTAGGAAATACCCTTGTTGGTGTTGTTTCGCATGGCGATAATTGTGCTGGAGTATCAGTTTACGCCAACGTTGCTAATCTTCGTAGTTGGATATTATCAATTGCATCAATTTAAATTACAACACCATAGATCTGTGTATTCTAAATGAAGAATATATTTTAAACAATATACATTTAATACTCTATAATATAAGAAAGTTGTTCAATTTGCGGCTGCTAGAATGTAAGTTACCTATTTCAACCAGGAACCAAATAGCAATGTAAAACAGACTTTAGGGTAGATAGCACATGAATAAATTAACAACTTAGAAACTAAACCAATCGGCCTTTTTTTCCACAAAACCCGGATGATCTTTACAAGTGTAATGCATATTTGGCTTGATATGTAGGAGATAATTACATTCAGAGCAAAATTAATTTAATGTAGACGTTATCGTAAAAGTGTTTCTATCAATTTGTTAGACAATACGAAGGATTTTTTCCATCAATTCCAATCGCGTAGTCAAAAATAAGTGGTCGAAAAAGAATATTTAGACATTTACCTACATTCAAGTCGTTATACTTCCCTGACTTTTTATTCGTGTTTCAATGAAAGCAACTGATGAAACTTTGTTTCTAGTATTTTCCCCGATTATCTTAGTTCTGCGTTGGAAGTTTAATTATTATTATGAACGCCAGCGATATAAAATATCGCTATACTTTTTTTAAACAAACAAAAAAATTCATGGAGTGAAAGAACTCTTATACCTATTACAAGGTTTTAACTAAATCAGCCGCAGCAGTCGTCGTTTTTTATTTGTTGCAGCGTTTTAGTAAAGAAGTTTTATAGCATCTTCGTTTATTTGTACAATATAAAGAATTTCCTTAATTGTTGGGAAAACTGTAGAAAATCCCAAATATTATTTATATTTAACGCTAAATAATACACTAGTACTAGTATATAACTATTCATTGATTATAGCAAACAAAATTTACCTATAAAGTAAAAGGCACAAAGGCCGCGAAAATTAACAAATCACCGTGGTCAATATGCCGGAAAGTTGTATTGAAATGAAAGCCCTTTTTATAAAGGTATTTCTTACCTGCTTTGAGTATTTCGTTAGTAGTTAAATTTAATTTTTGATGCAGTTCCTTTATCAGTTTATTCGTAAATAATTACTTGAACATATAGAAAACGGCAGATCTACCAAAGAGTTTTCCGATAATGGTGCTACAAAAAATTACGCGTGTCAACTCAAACATGCACTGAAATTGCATGTGCATCACGTGACGATAGTCCTTGATAAACATATCTAAACTTCATTTAATTTTCAGAATCGTTGTAATTTAAAACGTAAGTATCTAAAAAATGAAAAACTGGGAATAAATTGTCAATAATACGTTTAAGTCTATGATTGTGGCATAATCTTCAGTGCTTTACGTGCGCCTCATCGTCATAAGGTCGTCAGTCTTAAGACTGATTGGGTACGCACCTCCTTCCTATCCTGAGCCAATCCTCGCATTTCCCTAAAACTAGAACAACACATCATTAACTATTTGCGAATAGTAATCTAATCTAGGTCTGCGTCTACCCCTCCTAATTCCCGTTTCTGCCTCTAATATGTCTCTGACTAGGCCTTCATGTCTGAGAAGGTGTCCTACCAACCTATCTCGCTTATTTCTTATTCATTTCCATGGTCCTCTGTTTTGTACCTATTCTTTCTGATTCCTCTTCATTTCTAACCTTCTTTATCCACGGTATCCTAGTCATTCGCCCCATATCTAAGGCTTCTAACCTTTTCCTTTTTCTTTTCTTTTGGGTATTTCATTCCCACCAGCCAGTAATGTTGGTGGGCGGGCAGTCCCTCCGGACTATGCCGGAAGGTAGGGCGGAAGGCCCTCTTCAGCCTTGCTTTCAGGAATCGTGGGAATGGGTGGGGTGGTGGTTCGGGTGAGAAAGATGAGACGGACGAAATGAAGACAGAAGAGTATGAAAGATTATCTGTGGAATATTACTGCCTCAGCATTTGCCTAAGTGATCCAAGGAAACCACAGAAAAACTTGGACCAAGGCAGACGGACGCGGAATCGAACCGGCGTCCTCCCGAATGCTAAGCAATGGTCTAGACCTCTAGGCCATGCCGTTCGGTAACCTTTTCCTTTCCGCCGCATCTACCGTCCAAATTTTCGTACCCGTACAGCTCTGCGCCCCAGACATACTGCTTTAATAATCTTTTTCGAATTTCTAAATTAACCATTCGCGAGCATAGAAATGACTTCTTTTTATTGAAGTCTGCCTTATTTCCCTACTACCTACTCCTTTGTCCTGAATTATGTGACTTCTTATAGATACCTAAAATCGGCCACTCCTATCTTTATATTCGCTGTTTCCCTACGTTTTCTTCCCTAACCCTGCTTTCACACAGACGGTTTTTTGCCGTGGCCGCACACGGCAACGGTGCCGTGTATAATAGTAATTCATTGGTTTATATGCAAGCTTTCACACAACACAGTTTGCTGCCGGAGCCGTACACGGCTGCCGACGCAGCACGGCATGGGGACTGCAACGGTACGGCGCCGTAGCCGTGCACGGTAACAGTGAGGCAAGCAAGTGTATAGGTAGAAGTATTCACACGGCAAAAATTGTTTTCAGGATCGTTTTTCTCTCTGAATTATGCAGTTAGAAGGAATTATATAGTGTGGCGGATAATAACACCGCTATATTTAATTTAAAACATATATTTGACTAAACATTATGTTACACCCTTTTGTAAATATTTCTACTCGAATTCTTTTGTATCTGTCTTTCTATTATTATTATTCTCTGTGAAAAAATTGGGAACAGTGTATTCAAATTGTTTTGTACTCAATTCTATCGCTATCAATAACTTTTATTACTTGTACTTTCCAGTAATCCCTAATTCGAAAATAATTAAAAAATTTGGAGCTATCCTCTCGTAACTCATGAAATAATGTCACAAATTCACCCATCAATTGTCTGCTTTCAAGTAGTGGATGAATCCAAAATCTTCTTGTTTTTTGTGTTTTTCTGCGATTATGCCATATCATTAGTAACAACATGCGTTTTTTTCTTTCGTCCATTTTGGTCACGTATCAAAACAAAAGTGAACGCAAAGCAAAATGAAATTACAGCACGGCACGGCACGGTTGCCCTTTCTATGATAATTTTATTTGATTAAATTCTGTAAAACACTAAAGGTTAGCACGAAGGCTAATAGCAAAAAGTAGGTGTAATCGCAGGAATAAGAAATATTTTTTAAAAAGGATTTAGCATGAAATACACAATATAATTTCGTGTTCTTTACTAAGGCAGCTGAACTGATAACGACTCTTTTTCTTTCTGACTCGAAAAGATGATATTATTCTAAATACGAACTCATTGAGCCGACATTCATATTCTTTTAGTATAGGCGCAGGTAAAGCACTGAAAACTATACCACAATCATAGACTTAAACACATTTTTGACGATTTATTACCAGTTTTTCATTTTTTTTGATGTTTTAGATATTTAAGTTTGAAATTACAACGATACCTACAATTCTGAAAATTAAATAAAGTTTAGATATGTTTATGAAAGATTATTATCACGCAATTCACATGCAATTTAAGTATATGTTTAGGCTGACATGCGTAATTTTTTTTATACTATTATCAGAATACTCTTAGAGCCGCCGTTTTAATTCCACATATTTTTTTTTTAATTTACGTGATAATGTACGTCTTCTTTTCAATTAATTATGTACAAATAAACTGATAAAGAAACTGCATCGAAAATTACATTTACTAACGAAATACTCAAGCAGATAAGAAATACCTTTATAAAAGGGGCTTTCACTTCCAAACAACTCACAGGCATATCGACCAAGATGATATGCGTGTTAATTTTCGCGGCTTTTGTGTCTTTTGCTTTAGGTAAATTTTTAATTGCTATGTTTAGTAAAAAGTTATTTACTAGTACTGGTATATTATTTAGCGCTAAATATAAATAATATTTGGTATTTTCTACAGCTTTCCCCTATCAGCAACCTGAATCGGATTCTACCAGAATTTCCGGAGGAAGCAATGCAACAATCAAGGAAATTCCTTATATTGCACAAATAAACGTGGATGGCAGTAAAACTTCAGACTGTGATGCGTCGATCATTTCAAGCCTTTGGTTAGTCTCCGCTGCTCACTGCTTAATCAGGTATATTATCCAACAATTAGTATTAGTTACTAGCAGAGAGTAGATTTGAATTGCAAATACATAATGAGAATTGAATAAAATAATTCGAAGTGGTCTGTATTGTATCGAAACTGCCAGACGCGGATCACGATTTCGATCCTTTTGGATCTCATCAGCGCGTCGCAGACAGCTCCGACAGAACACAGATTTTTTTTTTTTTTATGTTTTCGTGGAAGAGGGGAAATCTTCAGAAGACCAACTTTTACCTGCTGCGTTAACAGCGCGTTTTAGAAAATACGACAAATGGCGCTGTAAACGCCATCTATAGTACAGTAGTACATTTTAGAATTACGTATGCTTCAGCAAGGTCCATTTAAATATATGGATATCTACTTGCTGAAACGAATCCCGGCGTAGCTCCATATATTTAAACGGACCTTGCTGAAGCATACGTAATCCTAAAATGTAGCACTGTACTACAGATAGCGTTTATACTTGGCGCCATATTGCCTGATTTTGGCGTGTGAATTGTACGATGTGCATTTTACACGCTTAAGAATTGCCGCAGAAATAAAAAAAAACACATTTTTCATTCTAGCATATATTCTTCCTATTCCTCTGTCCTTAAAGCACCAAAAAAATCTAATTGTTATCTACGTCGCAACAAAAATCCTGGGTGAGACGCGCAACAAATTATAAAAAGAGCCTGCGCATCTCGTACAGCAAAGTTTCGTCAATTTAAAGACAAATGTTTTTACTAGTGGTGCAATCCGTCATTCGCAATAGTTAAAACAGCCTTCCATAGAAGAGCGACTTATATCATATAAAATAAAGTCACTAATCATCATCATCATCATGAGGACTTCATTCTAATTAAATACGCACCTTCACTTCTTCATATCTTGGGCAAATCTTCGCATTTCTCAAAAACCGGACTAACCTACATCTCTAATTATTTAGACAATGGTAGATAACTCAATTTAGTCATTATTGTGGTTGTATTCCTTTTTCGGTGAAAAGTAGTTCGTCAATATCATCTATTGTAATGGTTTTGATGTTTTACTTCACATAATCGAATTTTGAGATGACAACTTTCATACATTAAACTCAGCATCACTATCTACCGCAAAAATGAAATCTCAGGCTTTTGTTTCCTGGCTGACGTTAGCTTATGCTATTATTTCACATTCTGCTATTCTGCTAAATCCGTTAGAACAACCGGCCCTCTCGATAATAAATTATTGCTGCTTTGGATGGTGTGTTAACCCATTCTGTAACGTATCTCTTTTAATTAATTAATACACTCAAAGCCACTATCCATTTAAACAAAATTGACACATGTACTGATTATAATTCTCTCTTTTCAGAATGCGTGCCGCAAACGTAAGTATTCGGGCTGGAACTGACCAATTCATGAGAGGTGGTGTGGTGATAAGAGCCTCTAATCTATACGTTCATCCCAGTTATACTAATATTACTCAGGATTATGACATAGGTTTAATCAAACTTGCTTCACCAATAACTTTTGGTCCAAATATATCTGCAATATCTCTTGCGGAACGTAAACCCGCAGTGGGAACGTCGGCTCTTGTTTCTGGTTGGGGAGATTTAGATTCTACCAGTGAAACCATCCCAACACAGTTACAAAAGGTTACACTACCAGTTGTTTCTGACCTCCAATGTCCTCCTGTGTATACTCCAAGGATGATATGTGCAGGATACCGTAATAGAAGCCAGAGTCCTTGTTATGTAAGTGTTCCTTGTTCGAAGGATTTGCTTTAATTAATTGTGCATGTTCAGAAAAATATACGGTACTCGTGAATGTTTACAAGTAAATAGTTTTATGGGGTCCAAAAAAGGAACGATCAATAAATAATTAATATTTCTTTTGTGTAATGCAGGGTGACTCTGGGGGCCCTTTGGCTGTAAGAAATACTCTCATTGGTGTTGTTTCCCACGGCGGTGCTTGTGCTGGAATTTCAGTTTACGCCAATGTTGCCAATCTTCGTAAATGGATATTATCAATTGCATCAATTTAAATTACAACGCTATGCATCTAAGTATAATATATTTTAATAATGTAAACAATTATTGGGATTATGCTACAATAAGAAATAAAAGTCGATATATCATTTTATCAGTGTTCTTATCAATTGTTAAAAAAATCCTGACAGCATATAATCTCTTTGATCCGCTAATAGCCGCTGCCCAGCATTGATGACAATGTTTTACTTATCATTACAAATTTTATACTCTTTTCTTTGGAATCCTTCGCTTGTTCTCAATAATAGCAACAAATACCTTTCAAAATGTCGTCAAATTGTTTTGTATCTATTATTCTTTATGAACATTTTAACACAATGGGATAGAATTTGCGATCTACGCGTGACAGTATCCACAGGATACCGACCACCATGAAGTTGTTCAGTTTTGGTAACGTGCGTACCACGTAGGATTAGCTTTGCCGTGGATTGTGTTCGACAAGTCGACATCCTTATGGACATTGTTGAACATTTTTGAATTCCACTAAATGTAGCAATATACTACAGGTAGCATTTACCACGGCTGTTTAAAGTAGTTCATAAATAGCTACTGTTTAACGTATGATGATGATATATGCATAAAGTTGCTGCAAAGTCGCTTTTTTATCATCCGTGTAGGCGACAAAAGATGTAACATGTCATGTTTGTGGCTAAACGTCCGCCAACGAAATCATTATGTTACGATGAGGTAGAACGAAATGGTTAAAATGTCAATCATCGACAACAGTATCGTACGTCCAAATTTGGAAGAGATATACTTGCTATATTATAATGTATGTACGCCTGCACATATGTTGCTACAAAATCGAATTTTTATCAATTTGACACAATCATTGAAACAGCATACAAACATGCGACTCTTGTGCAAATATTGGAATTGGGTTCCTTACCGCAATAATAAACTGTAGGAAATTTGTTAAAAAATACACCATACTTATTTTGTGACATGTTGCAATTTTCAAAAACCATTAAATCTTCTACATTATCAAATGCTTTCCGTACCAAATACTCAAAATATTGGGAATGTTTCAAAAGACCTTCAAATGTGACTGCAAGCTGTGAGGTTTCTTTTTTAAGTGAATCACAGCGGAAAATTGTCCACCCCTTAGGTTCGACTCTCGCTCGAAATGGCCCCTTTTGAGTACAAGCGCTAGTGCATTACCCAACTTTGCTGTACCATATCAAACGCCACTGTACAAAAGATCTGAGGTTTGTAGCTGTGGTTAAACACCCGTCGATGAAATTATTAAGTTAAGTATAATAGAACGCAGTGGATAAAATATACGTGCTGTGCACCATTCACAACGGTACCATCTGTCCAAATTTGGACAAGTTAGACTAATTATATAATAATATATGTATCTAGAATAAATTTAAATTTCTATTCAATGTTTGTCTGCATATAAGTTGCTACAAAATCGCATTTAAAATGTGACGACTTTTGTGAAAAAGTTTTTCTTTACAACCGATGAACTGATAACAGATTTTAGCCGGGTTGTTCTAGACTACTAAAAAAGGACGCCTATACACCTGCTTAAAAAAAGTCGTTTTTTATGGTAGTTCTTTTCCTTTTGGGTTTGTTAAAAAGTGTCGATAGTACAAGACCTAGATATTCCAAATACCTACAAAATGAGCCAATCAAATTATTAGATCACATGCAAAATTGCGTAAAGCCGACAAAATAGCGGTTTTCTAAATTTGTTTATAATAAATAAACAATAATCAACTAAATTGTCTAAAAATGCGCCGAAATTGTAACTCTTGTTTTTCCACAGATGCAATTGTTTACTAGAAAGGCATTTTTTGGGGCTCAATTTGCTCGTAAAGATTTGTAGATGCTTGAGATTTCTCATTTGCAAAGCAACAATTTTTGCAATGGATGACAGGCAAAATGGAAAGAAATTGAAAATAATAATCGACCTAAAGAGACTATTGGTTGTAGATATCATCAGAACGTAAAATAAAGTGCACAGAACGTACCCCATTTAAAACAAAAAACTCGTTCTACGACCCGCGGAAGCCAAGATATTAATGATTTTTCGACACTAAATTTTCCAATAAAAAATTTTTTCCTCCTCTCCCGGGATCATACAAAATCCAAGCAATCGTGGTGCTTATTGTTTACTAACGTGAATCCTGATCATTCCTGACGGTTTTCATCAATATAACAGCTAGAGAAAACCGTGGGCAAAACGAGGTTCAGGGCAAGACGGAACGAGCGCTTATGTACGTAACTCGTATGCGCATGACCCCGACGAACCTATGGCGTCCTACGTGAGAACGTGTCGCTACTTTTTTTAGCTACATTACGAGAAAAAAAATGAATGTATTTTGTGACAAACACTAACGTATTAGCAGGCGAGTGTTTTCGCAATATTTTCACTCGAAGATCGTAGCAGAGTTTGATACAAAGTACTTTTCATAGCCGTCACCGCTTTGAGTAAGAAGTACTTGGATGAAGTACAAAATGTGTATCACGGGATACTACATGTATAAAGAAAAAAGTTAAAAATCCCAAGAAATAAAGTACACTTGTAAAAAAATTGGGTGTTTCAATCCTACGAATTATTAATGCTGGTGGGCGGGCAGTCCCTCCGGATTAAGACGGAGAGTATGGCAGAAGGTTCTCTTCATTTTCGTTTTAGGAATCGTGAGAATGGGTTGGTAGCGATTGAGGTGAGAAAGTTGAGATAGATGAAATGAAAAAAAGTGAAAAATCATCTCTGAAATACAATTGTCGTTACTACTGTCCAATTTGCCTAAGTTGATTAGTACGACAATTTTGAGCATACTATAGTGAACACAGCCAGTCTGATTGAAATATATGCTCGTTTTACCACGTGCCATTTCCCCGGCCACGGGGCAAAATGGGAAATTTGAGTTTAAATAATCAAACCTTACGTTTATATGATACATAATAAACAACTAAAATTTGTATAGAGATGAGGAAGGTATAAGATTACTAGTCATCATTGAATGGTGTATCCAACTATTATATCGATAGGAACCATTATGTTCAATACCAATTTTATGGAATACTTCTAAACATAGAATCAGAATCAATTTAGTTCTTAAACAATATCTATTTGTTAGTAATGCGGCACTAATTAAAATGTAATTTGTTCGATGATATTTCGTTTTGATCAGATCCTGCAAAATGCTTAAACACGAGCTAAAAGCGACAAGTAAGTAAGTAGTCATCGGAACAACAAATGAGTTAAATAAGAATTAACATCAAATACACAATATTATTTCGTGTCTTTTACAAAGGGAGCTGAGGCAATAACGGCACTTTTTACCTATTCTGAATCCGAAAGAAAATTTTATACTAAATCTGAACTGAGGTTTCGACATTGAATATTATTATCGTATAAGTGGAAGTAACGCATCAAAAAATATCCCATAAACATAAATCTGAAAACAATTTTGTCGATTTATTACCATTTTTAGATGCTTTAGATTTTAATTTACGCCGACACCAGTAATACTTAAAGTTTAATGATGCTTATCAACGATTATTATCGTATGATGCACACGAAGTAATTTAAGTGCATGTTGCTGACACGCGTATTTTTTTGTAGCAGAATTATCGGGAGACTCCTTGGAAGGGCCGCTCTTTTAATTACATAAATCCTTTAATTCTTTTTTAATTTACGTGATAAAGTGTTCTACAGGTTCATGTAATTAGTTACAAATAAACTGATAAAGAAACTGCAAAAATTAAAATTTTAAGGAGACTCAAAATCAGATAAGAAATACCTTTATAAGAAGGGCTTCCAATTCAAAACAAATTATAGGTACATCGACCAAGATGATGTGGGTCTTATTTTTCGCGGCTTATGTGCCTTTTGCATTAGGTAAATTTTTGTTTGCTATATTCTATATTTATTAGTACTAGCATATCATTTAGCGTTAAATTAAAATAATATTTGGAATTTTCTATAGCTTTCCCCTATCAGCAACCTGAATCGGATTCGACCAGAATTTCAGGAGGAAGCAATGCAACAATTAGGGAAATTCCTTATATAGTTCAAATAAACGTGGATGGTAGTAAAACTTCAGACTGTGATGCGTCAATAATTTCAAGACTTTGGGTTGTTTCCGCAGCTCACTGCTTAAGCAGGTATGTTATGCTATAATCAGTATCAGGTACTAATAGAGAGATGTAATTCATTTGAGATAATCCCATTTAGGTAATATGCAAATGCGTAAAGGAGCGCAAATATTTTCACGTTCTTTTAAACATGCCTTTCTTAAATATTAATTTTTTATCTGCGTCCTGATACTTTTTAAACTTATTTTAAAAACCCTAAATGCAAAGTCCAATGACTAGTATTCACCGTTACTCGATTCGAGTTGAGTTATCCCACATCAGTGTTCTTACGAACTAAGATGGATGTCAATCCTTGCAATTCTCTGGAACCAGAGCAGCTATTAATAGGAAATTAATGCAATTTAGTAATTATATTATGGTTGTATAAAAATGGTAAAAGGTACTTCGTAAAAATCTTCCCTCATATTGGTTTTGATCTTTTAATTTACATAATAATGCTCAACAAACGATCACAAACTACATTCGAACTTTAAACTCAGTCACGAATCTCGCCCTTTTTGTCACCTGGTCGACGTTAGCCTACATTATTATTTCGTATTTTTTCAAATGAATTAGGACAACTGGTCTTCGCATCTCCGGATAATAAATTATTACTAGATAGGATGCTCATGATGTTCTAACCCATTCTATAACGGATCACTATTAATCATTGTAAACATAAAGCCAGAGATTTTACTTAGTTTCAGCATCCATTATAACAAAATTGACCATTTTGTTTCGCATATTACAACATTTCCTACTGATTAAATTTTTCCATTTTCAGAATGCGTGCTGCAAACGTAAGTATTCGGGCGGGAACAGACAAATTCATGAGAGGTGGTGTGGTGATAAGAGCCTCAAATATATACGTTCATCCCAGTTATAGTAATATTACTCAGGATTATGACATAGGTTTAATAAGACTTGCTTCACCACTCACTATTGGTCCAAATATAGCTTCAATTACCCTTGCGACAAAAAAACCCGCAGTGGGAGCATCAGCTGTTGTTTCCGGTTGGGGAGATTTAGATTCAACCAGCGAAACCATCCCAACACAATTACAAAAAGTCGCACTACCAGTTGTTTCTGACCTCGAATGTCCTCCTGTGTATACTCCAAGAATGATATGTGCAGGATACCGTAATGGAAGCCGAAGTCCTTGTTATGTAAGTGTTCCTTGTTCGAAGGATTTGCTTTAATTATAGGGTTGTTCGGAAAGTCATTTCGTTTTTTTTTGTGGAAATTAAAGACAGTTTTCGTATAATAAACAAATACTTTTTAAATTATATATTGACCGTTCTGGTCCAACACCTTTTGCCATCTTTCTGGTAGTAGCATAATTCCACGCTCATAAAATTTTTGGTCTTTGCTGGCAAAAAACTGATCGAGGAGGTTTTTGACCTCCTCATTTGAGGTGAAGGTTTTACCGTCTAAAAAATTTTGGAGTGACCGGAACAAATAATAATCCGATGGTGCCAGGTCTGGAGAATATGGTGGGTGTAGCATTGTATCCCATTCAAGCTGTAAAAGCTTTTGGCGAGTCCTCTGTCGGGAAAAAACGAAATGACTCCGAACCACCCTATAATTATGCATATGCGGTACACACGAATGTTTACAAGTAAACGGTTTCATGAGGTACGTTAAAATTATAAGTGGAGTATAGTCCAAAATAGGAACGATCAATGAATAATTAATATTTCTTTGTAATATACAGGGCGACTCTGGGGGCCCCTTGGCTGTAAGACGTACCCTCGTTGGTGTTGTTTCGCACGGCCGTGATTGTGCTGGAATATCAGTTTACGCCAACGTGGCCAATCTTCGTAGTTGGATATTATCAATTGCATCAATTTAAGTTACAACGCTACGGATCTATTTATTCTAAATAGAGAATATATTATAAACAATCGTTATTACTGATAATGTATAAACAACTACTGGGATTATGTTAACAATAAAAGTATAATAAAAAGCAGAAAATTATTTATTAAACTTACGAGTAATATTGTAATATGCAAAGAATTTCTCAAAAGTAAATGAATTTTCCTTTGTTCTGAAAAGTTTCCGTTTTACATATATAAGCATATTTGTATAAAATTTTACAAAAAGGTTTTGACGTTGAGAACTGGTAAAATTATAATAATGTGTTAACGTGAATCAGAATTCAGAAATGTCACACTTTTCTCTTTTCGATCACATATTTTACTTTTTCGTTCACAGAAACAGTTTCGTTTTGTAGAATTTATACTGCATACGTACAACATATTAAATAGTGAATTCAATCCTTCAGCGGTCAAATAGCGAACATAAAACAGTATTATTTGTATCTATACTTATCTTATGAAGACGAATAAGTTTACTAATCGTAAGTAATGAAAATAAACAAAATTGATCTACTATTCAACAATAGTATTTATTAATTCTTAGTTTCTATAGCGTCTCCATTACAAGAAAAGGTGGAAATGTAAAATTTATTTTCGAGCCGGTTTGTCCCAGACAGTAAATGCAAACTACAGTGGTTTTCCTTGTACCTAATAGTCGCTGCCAAGCAAAACATTTTTGGTAACAATGGTTTAGTTTTTATAAGGTTTATTTTTATTGTTTGGAGTACTTCATGATACCAATAAATGTAACAAATACCTTCCAAAATATAATCAATTTGTTATTTTATGTTACATATCATAATTTGCGTAGTATATGTATTATTCTAAATGTTTTAACACCTAAGAAATCAAATTAATCGACGTTTCTTACAACAAAACCTGCATGAATTTTACAGTTAACAATCGACTAATTTTAATAATAAAACAGGCAGTCTGAATGCTACTCGAGAGGTACACACAACTAACTTCCCAGTAGAAAGAATAAAAATACCATAGGTATATTCCATTTACCAATAGTTTTTATTATTATTGTTATTGCTATGTATTCGCATACTTTCCTAATCATATTTTTTTATACAAATGTTCCCAACATGTAATAATAATTAGATAGTATTACTCAAAAAATGTTTGGATTTTGCATTAGTAATTAGTATCTACAGTTCGCTTTTTTTAGTTTCCTGTTTCTCCACAAAAAATTGACGACCGATTTTATTGAAAACATAATCAGCTTTAAGTTGCGTGATTGCGTCGAATGCAATTGGTCCCACGTCGATATCATTTTTCATTCTCCAGATAATTGAAACGAAAAATATTTTTTTTTATTTATTGAGTTTCTTAATTACAAAACAGATTTTATCGCACAAATAATATATTGTAATGTTCGTGGGTTTAACAAAATTAACTTCTAAGACTGACAACAACAAAAACTATTTATTTACATTAATTATTAAAGAACTTAAAAACACTATTAAATTATTACTAAACTTAGGTTATGAATTATTCTATCACTGTCAATTTATTTCTGTATTCACTTCTGCAACGGTCAATTTATTTCTCCTTATCTCGGCGATCGTCTCTTCCTTTAAATACTCTTTTGCTTCCTTTCGGGAACCTTCTCGATCCGTCCGGAACGTTTCTTTTTCTTTGAACTGTTTAATTGCTTTCCCGGAACGCAGGTACGACACACACATTTACAAATACGGCGCACATGAAGAAAGGCGCCCCGCGACTAGTCGACGAATCGATAAGCCGTTCACGCACACGTATGCCCCATCGCACACAAACACACTCGTGCTCGCTACAACATCATATGCTAGGAACATATAAAATACATACTTACAATTAAACCCGATATAAGACGTTCATTTCTAAGTAATTTATGTTACTTGTTTTACTCAGTTTATTGGACAAAAAAAGAAATATCGTATATTTTGACAGGCATTTCTATTATTGTATAATTAAGCCTGAAATCTAAAGTTGCAATCGCATCAGCTTTCGAAATTCAAACAACTGCAATGTAACATGTTTGGACAAGAAGGAAAATTCTATCTCTTTCTTCTACTATAAAAAAATCACGCTAACAAAATATACAGAGAAGTTTCTATCATCTCCTTTTTTGACAGGTAAATGGATTCATGTTCGTTGTACAATGTTATATGCATGTAAATACCACATAAGTACTTCATATGAAATCATTGTTACTGTACAAAAAAGGGAACATCTACAGACCTATGCGACGTTTAGATTTTCAAATTCTACCGGTACCTGCAATGTCTAAAATTAAATAATGCTTAATTACGTTTATTAATTACTACATAGAATGCACATGACTACTTACTGTTTAGGATGACACTGGTAATTTTTTATAGCGGCATTATCGGCAGCATTTTTTATTAATTAATTTTAATCTTTTTTTTTAATTTACGTGATAATGTGTACTTTCCACATGCTCCAGTAATTGTTTTCATATAAACTGATAAAGAAATCACGTCAAAAATTAAATTTACCAACGAAATACTCAAAATCGGATAACACTTTCGTGCCTTTCGTTTTAGGTAAACTTGTATTTGCTAAATCCAGTAAATAATTGCTTACTAGTACTAGTATACTGTTTGGCGTAAATATAAATAGCATTTAAGATTTGCTGCTTTCCTTTCCCCAATCAACAACCAGAATCGGCCATTATCTCTGAAGGAACCTTCGGGACAATTAAGGAACTTCCTTTTATTGTACAAATGAAAGGGGATGATAGTACTACTGCAGACTGTGATGAGTTAATCATTTCAAGTTTAGACAGTTACCGCAGCTCATTACATACGTAGGTATGTTATTCAATAATAATTAATAGGTTTTAGTAAATGGCGCTAACACAGAGATGTAATTTATTTGAAATAGTCCCATTTAAGATGCAAATAGAAAATGGAAAATACTACTTTGTTAATTATAGGTACCACTTTTTTTACGCATACTATATTATTAGTTTCTGACTAAATTTCTCTATTCCAAACTACATGCCGGAAACATAACTATTCAGGCGGGAACAAGCCACTTCATGAAAAGTGGTGTAGTAATACAGGCATCAGAAATACATGTCTATCCCAATAATAAGAAGACATAGCTTTAATGAAACTTGCTTCAGAACTTCCTTTTGGTCCAAATATAACTTCAATTGCTCTTGCGAGAAGTCTACCTACAGTGGGAACATCGGTTGTCATTTCCGGTTGGGGAGATTATGCCGCTGATAATCGTACCTACCATCCCAACACAATTACAAAAAGTTACATTACCAGTTATCCCTGACAACCAATGTCCTGATGTACATACTGAAACAATGATATGTAAAGATACCGTAATGGAAACCAAAGTCCTTGTTATGTAAGTGTTATTTAAATATTATGAACAAATTGCTTTACTACATGGACAGAAAAATACAGGGTGCCCAAGAAGAGTTACAAGTACATAGTTTTGATTAAAACTAAGGTGAGGATCCAAAACGGTGCAACCAATGAACAACTAATACTTTTTTTAATGTTAATACAGGGCAACTCTGGTGGCCTGGTACCTCAAATACTATTGAGTGAAGTGTTTTTCGAAAAATATCGAAATTCTATGAATGGCGTATTTTCTTCGATTATTTATCAGAATCATAGTTCTTGAGTTAAATAAACAATATTATGAAGAGTGCGAGAATTAGGCCAATTTGTGCTGGACCAATTTGCGCTCTCTTGTAATGTTTGGAGCGCGGCGCTGTGCGGATGCGAAACATGGACAGTGGGCACGGTGGAAAAGAAAAGGTCAGAAGCTTTCGAAGTGTGATGTTACAGGCGAATGATGAGGATATCGTGGGTAGAAAAGGTTAGAAATGAAGAGGTATTAGAAAGAATAGGAGAATAGAGGATTCTATGGAAGTTAATAAAAAATAGGCGAGATAGGTTAATAGGACAGGCATGAAGGTCTAGTCAGATAAATATTAGAGGTAGAAACGGAAGTTAGGAGGAGCAGAGGTAGACCTAGATTAGATTACTGTTCGCAAATAGTTAAGGATGTGGGCTGTTCTAGTTTTAGGGAAATGCGAAGATTAGCTCAGGATAGTCAAGATTGAAGGGGCGTGTTCAATTAGTCTTAGGACTGACGACCTTATCTTGATGATAACGTCTGGAAAATATCGCATTTAAACATTCTTCACTTCACACTTTAGTCCATCTTTAATGTATTTCTCAATAAATTTTCACAGTTCTTAACATTGTTTCAGAGCGAAAGACAATGAACTAATATTTATGATTGTATTTGAAATACAGAATGTGTTTATAATGTTTATTTAAATACAAATTCTTTTTTATATTGTTTAATTATGTCAATACTTTTTCAAATACTTGTGATAATTTTTTTATCAGTAAACAATTTATAAACAATTCAACTCGACAAAATATATGATTATGTATAAATTGTTGAAAAAGTTGATAATAATTATAACAATACAAATATATTTTCCGATACGAAATCACAAGCTAAGTATCTATTTTTGTATTTAAATACTTTTAAGCAAGTATTTTGTCTTACTTGGNAAGTATTTGTGTCTGTATTTAAGAAAGATGTCGAAATTGTAGGAATGACATAGGTATGATTTTCTATTCTAAAGATAGTATATGTTAAAATAAAAAAAATTAATATAAAAACTCGCATGTATCATAAAATAATTAATTTTCAATAAACTAATCATTTATAATGTGCCATCATTATCATCATCATCATAAGTTCGTCAGTCCTAAGACTGGTTGGACACGCACCTCCACTCTTTTTCCTAAAACTAGAAGAACCCACATCCTTAACTATTTGCGAACAGTAACCTAATCTAGGTCTACCTCTACCCCTACCAACACCCGTTTCTGCATCTAATATGTCTCTGACTAGACTTTCATGCCTACATACCAATATCGCCTATTTCTTATTCACTTCCATGGAGTCCTCTGTTCTCCTATTGTTTCTAATACCTCTTTATTTCTTATTTTCTCTATCAACACTATCCTCATCATTCGCCTGTAACATTACATTTCGAAAGCTTCTAACCTTTTCTTTTCCGCCGCGCCCACTGTCCATGTTTCGTACCCG